GGATGGTGTCCGGCAGGGGCGAGGGGGGCGGGGGGGATCGGCGTGTTCGTTCTCCTGTCCCAGATTTTTTCCCTTTCCTCAGCGACCCCAAGCACGTACGTTGAAGACGTGCATGCTGATGTTTGTTAAGCGCCTGTAGACTTTGGTTCTGTGCGCCTTACAGGCCAGTGGGTATACTGCCACTAGCTTTAACCTGCGGTGGCTGTGTCTGGTGTGGAAGACCAGAATAGCGCTGACAGTGACATTTTGCTGTGAAAGGTTTTTCGTGCATTTTGGAGATGCATTCTCTGTGAAGGCCTGAAATTGAGGGACTGCCAGCGTATTCTGGTGCTGTTCCGAACCATGCTAGTTTAAACTGTAATTTTTTCACACGATGTATCAGACTTGCACCAGGCTTTCTTTCAGTAAGGTAGCTCTCAATGCTTTTTCTCCAAACTACTTGTTTTGAAATTGGTGGGGATGGAAAACGAATTCTGAACACACCTACAGCTCCGCTGTTAGTCAGCCACTTGCTTGTAAATGCTGTCCTTTGTTTACTGCGTAACAGTGGAGATAGGTGCCTATAAAACTGAAGGTGGTAATGGATCACATGGCAAATGGCACACAACTATTAAGTCGGATACAGACAATGATGCGAATCACATTGGTATTTGTATAATCTTAAAAAAGAAGTTGTGTTAACCATTTCCAGTTTTAACTGAAGTCATGGAACAGTTGTTTAAAAGGTTATTTAAGTGGATAACCAAACAAAAAAGAGGTGATTTTTTAGTTTAAAAAAGTAACCTGATTATATTTAGCCTGTTCAGTAGGCCCTTTCATTTTTGTCAGTCTTTTCACTTTTCTCTGTTAATGCATGGGAATTCGAAAGAAGAATTTCTTGAAAGGGGTTAAATTAAAATTATTTTTTTAAAAGCTCTGAATTATCAAATAGTTTAAGTTTGTCTTAATGCAATGTTAGGATTGTAATCATGTAACTGACTACCTTACTGACACCTGTTTTTTGTGAGTGCATTAGTCTGGCACCTGAGGTAGCAATTTCTGTTATTGTTCTGAATTCCTTTTGCAACTGTACAGCTTTTGTATCTGATTCTATTTTAGTTCCTCCAAGCAAGTTGTTTTCTTCAATATATTATTTCCAGAGTATTCCCCTAAACCCTATGAAAGCATCAGACTCTGGTACTTAATAACCTTTATTAGAGGACAAGCCAGCACCATGTAAAGCAAATAAACTTCCTGTGGTTTTGTACTGATGGTCCCTGCTTGGTTTTGAACACAAAAATCTCTATATTCCTTAGCAAGGCATTTGTCTTTTCTTTAGTACTTCTTTGGAGAACCTAGTTTCCCATCAAATCAGAGAATACTGCTATTTTGAATGGAGTCAGCGCATCATTTTATAATTTTTTTTCTTGTCACTAGCATTCCCTAAATATTGATATATAAGCAATTAAATGTTTCATCAATTTAAAATCTTTTTTTTTATTGCAATATAGTTGAAACTACAGGTAATAATGTAATATCAATCAGTACATAGACCAAGTAATGTTTCTTAGAAAAACAAAGCTATGCAAATTATGTTTTCTTGATTCATCTTGGAGGTTATTTCTCCCAAATAGTGCAATTGGGTAATTTCCCTCATCCGTATTCTCAGGCAGTTCATGGCTATTTTCTTTCTTTAGGTGGTTTTCTTACTGTGCTAAGATTAAGAAGCTCTTTGTCTGTTTCTTACCTGCTTATAACTGTTGCCCCAAGCTGCAAGGGTCAATGTCTAATAAGGAAGTTAAAAAAAAAAAACCAAACCCAAACCAAAAAAACAAACAAACAAACCCAAAACCAAACAGAACAAGAAACCCCAACAACACACTAAGTAGACTAGGGTATGAAACTGGCTGAAGGGATTATTTTTATTGTTGTGTGACCTCCTGTTCTCTTTTTAAGACTTCTAAAATATGAAGTAAGCCCATTTTGTTGTTTAAAGATGAAGTGGCAAGGGCTCTTAGTGTGGGGCAGTTCTATCAGTCCAAAAGGTTTAATCATGTCTGTACAGTGAAATCTTAGTTTAGGATACTCTGCGTAGTTTTGCAGAGTAGTGCAGGCTTCAGAAACCTGTCACAGATGTTGTAGCATACTATTTTTCTTTTGCCAAGTGGAATATGCTGGAAGAAATTCCATAGGAACTAGCAAATTATTCCATGACAGAAAGGCAAAAGGTCTTAACTGAACTGGCCATAGATATTTTGCTGGAGATGGCAGCTTTCAGTTTATACTTGCCACCAAGTTGTGAATTCAGCTTGAAGTGGGAGATGCTGTCACATAGATGTTTCTTTTGATATGGTGTGGCTCTCACTCAGTTTTGTCCGTTACTGTCTTTGATACCTCTTTCATGATTTGGTAATTTTCTTGATGACATTTATTTTTTTCAGATGTAATTATGGTGTTTAAAATACAGAGTAAGGCAAGGAAATCTCTAGCTGCTTGGTTTCTTCAAGTGTTTTAACTGAAATAGCCAAGATTTCTAGAAATGTAACTTTTCCAAATCTGTTTGATGATCTTTACCCAAGAACAACAATAACAAAAACAATGTAGTATTCTAAAAATGACTGAGGTACCAGAGATGTGAAAAACAGAAGCATTGTGGCTGTCTTTGTTACTAATTTTTGAAGGACAGGAAACACTACGGATCGGCAGACTAGTTTGCTTCCTTTTGAATTCCTGAAAGAAATTCTGGAACAAAACATTAAAGGAGAAACCATTGCTCAAGCTTTCACACACCGTTCAAGGAGTCACATACACACTCCCTTCGCAGCAGGTGACCCCAGTGAGCTGATGGGTGCCCCTTTCTACTCCACACTCACTCACACACTCTCTCTCAGGCGCGCTTCCTCCTCCTTCAGGCTGAACCCTAGGTTTCCCACAGCAGAGTCACAGGCATCAGATTTTATAAAAATAAATAATTTAATTGAAAGGTACAGAAGCAGGGTCAGCCCATGCTGGATGCCTCAAGAGATGGGCACTGAACAAAGAAATCCCTGGTCAATTATACCCTTGCGATCTAAACACCTGCAGCTCACATGCTTGTCATGTGTCTTTTAGTCCAATGGTAATTTTTGATCTGGGGTCTTCCAACACTTTATTGGATTCTTTTTCTGTGTCCAGGCAGGCAGGCTGTTGACTGCTCTCACCTTGTTGATTTGCAGTCTTTGCTGACTGTTGTCGCCTCCTTATCTTCTGGTTGATGCTTCTTGTGCACCTGCGCTCGCTGGCAGAACATGGGAAACTGAAAAGTCCCAGACTTAGGCAAAACACTACCAAAACATCAGATGTTTTCCTCATACTGGGAGACTAAACATAGCTCTGTACCAGCTGCTAGGAAAATTACTAAGAAAATTGACTCTATTGTGGCCTAAAGGCTTCAGCAAATCTGGCTACTTATGCTAAGTAAAGCTAAGCAAACAGCATATGTCACATCATATTATAACCCTAAGTAATTTGTTCTAATTAAAACTTACTTATTTAAGCTAAACAACTAAGATTGCTCAACAAAAAGCTATTTGTAAGCATGTAGAATATAATAGCTGAGTAAAAGCATCAGTTTGTCAAGGACAAATTGTTGAAGTAATCTAACATGCCACTGATAGGCCTACTGTATACGAGAGGATCAGTTGATGCCTTCTGTTTAGTCTTTAATAAGACTTTTGATTCTGTTTCTCAGGATGTTTTTGCTGGGGAAGAACAGTTGGGAACAGCTACAGTTGTGATTAAGTAGGCCAGTCCCTTGTCAACTACTCTTCGGTATTTTTACAGAGAGTTTCCAAAATGAAATAAGGTGAATATTAAAACTTAAGAAGGCACAAAGCTAGGAGGGATTGCAGACCTCTTTGAGTGTGGTAGTGGAAATCAAACAGCCTTGAAGATTCAGAAGCCTGTGGGAGGGGAAAGGGTACAAATGAGTACAGTTTTGTGCCTGCGCTTTAGCGGGAGCCATCA